CAACCGTTGAGAAAAACAAGTATCGTTATTCGTGGAGGGTCGTTGTATTGCGAGCATAAAGACGTCACGCACAGTAGAATTCAACTCCTCCCAGTGTACACTTTTTTTTTTTTTTTTTTTTTTTTTTTTTTTTTCATAACTTCTACTAACTCGGGTATAACATGTAGATCGTTTGCACGTGGAACTCATAAAAACAAAAAAAAAACATTGATAACTGTTTTAAATCTGCTTCGCGTTGTTTAATCTTCAGTAATATTTATTTTTTCAAAAGGTGAATCCCTAATTACACGTGGAAAAATTTTGGCCTAAGTAAAATTAATATTTACAATCATAAAAAATTTTAGTATCGAAAGATAAATTTGTCCTTTTATTTTTGTTTTTATTGTTAAAGTAATAAAAAGCTTTTGTAACTTTTTTAATTATCATAAAAAATTATTATGATTTATTGCTGCGATTCTTATGAATGATAATAGTTTAACGTACTAAAATATAACAGCTGAATTAATTTTGTTAATTAATTCTGTTAAAAACATTTAACTATCAGTGCAAAACATTATCCGAGTAATGAAACTTTTTATTAATAAAATAAAAATTTTCTCTCGTATATTTGAATCAAAAAAATTAATTCCTCAGTCTTCGGGTTGATTTATAATAATGAAGCTCTAAAACAAAAATATTTTATTAAAAAATGTGGATGAGATGAAAAATAAAATGATGCAAGTATTTAATAAAAAGAAAAAACTGTAATATGATTGAATGAATAAATATTAGTAACCCAAGAGGGCACTTGGCCATTCTTATTTAGCTTTTATAAATAATTCGTTCTCCTGCTCAACCGTTTACGGACCCACGAGAGCATTTTGCAGTTTTACGTTCAATCTCATAAACGACCCTTTGTGTTTTCGTATCATATCCTACGGGAATTGCACTTTTTGTCGTTTGTCTACTTCTGAATATACCTTCTGAAGATATAGAGCTAGAATATACATTTATAATACCGTAATAATGAACCATCATCAAGTTTTCATACTTCGTTACATTGAAAACGGTTTTACTGTAGGCACAGTGGCAGTTTAAAGCTTATTTATTTGAAAGTTCAACACGGAGCTCTTCATAAGATCATATAAGTATATATAAGTGTTGAGAATAGTCGGCTAGGAGTGAAAAATCTCGGCAAAATTGTTTTGTTAGTAAATTTGAAATCTTACTAATTATCTTACCGTTTAAAAAGTATGAGCTTGCTCTCACAACCCGGTAATTTACGTTCTAATTTAGTTTACGTTCTAATTTACGTTCTAATTCCTCTAAACTTCCCACATTCATAATCAAAAGTCGTCTCTGGAAGAATTTAGAGATTTTTGAGGTATTGCTTATGAAAATTTTCGATTAGCGCAAGAAAGGGGATACTTAATTTATAAAATAAATAAGTGTTTATGATTTTAATTCAAAGTAAAATAAAGTTTGGCAAAGGGTGGACGGTAAGTGGCAACTGTTGCATGCCCTGAGCGCGAAAAGTGGAAGCTATGTTCTGCACCCGCTTTAATAAATCATCTTATCAATTGTTTTATCATGATCGTAAATCGTATTTTAAATACACTAGACATTGATCTTAAGTGTAATATTATAAAGAACCATATAAGGGCTTGTACAAAAATTAAAATTAATTATCGTCGACTAATTAGTAATGCTAACAGTAATAGTATACATGTAGCGTAGGTATTTGATATAACTTATGCAGAGTTTTAACAAATTTAACATGCGCTAAGCGAAAGTTCTAGGGAAAATTTATAGCTTTATAGTTTTAATTGATTCTATTAAATAATGTATTATCTAATTGATGTACGTTTGTGTACAGAGACCTGAGTAAGCTGAAATGTCGCGAATTTGAATTCTAGCTGATTATTAGCACATTTTTTCGGATTCTGCATGTAATTTACTTTTCAGCACTGATAGAAGGATTTCTTAGTATTTAAGAAGATTTCTTTCATATTTCTTGAATATAAAGAAATATTTTTTAAATGCTAAGAAATGATGTTTAAGAAATCTTCTTTTAAATGCTAAGAAATCTTTCTATCAGTGAGTCAAAAGCCCGAAATCTACTTATTGGAAAATTTTCAAGAGTTTGAAGCTTGAGAAAAAGCAAAAAATTCTACACAGAAAAAAAAAATTAACTTGAATCAAGTAAATAGTTTTGAAGAGGTTCATCTTTTTGGTTTGATAATTAAATTTTAATTAATTTGTCTTGATTCAAAACAATTAAACTCTTCAAAATTATTTTCTTGGTTCAAGAATTTTTTTCTTGAATTAATTTTTTTTTCTGTGTAAGAAATATAGAAAAAAATATTTAATTAGGTGAGTACATTTATATGCTCTTACATAAATATATATATATATATATATATATATATATAAAATATATATAGAGAGACTAAATAGGTTGTGGTTATAATCTATATGATGTGATTTGGCTCTGTTCAGCTAAATTATATTCTACAATCACGCCTCTCACATGTACTTGTGCTCATGATTGCATTAATATATAATAATTCCAAACAAATCCCCAGCTTAAACTCATTAAAAGCCTAGACAAAACCCAAGAGCATACCGGATAAAACTAACGTGATTCGCTGTAAAGTACACAACCAATTTATTTGTAAATAAATAAAGAGCTTAAACCCATCGTTTCCCAGTTTTGAAAAAATGAAATTTTTTAGACAATTTCAACAGATTCACAAGTTGTAAGCGACGAATTTATGGAGCTCCGTGATTACACTCGTTAATTATTCTACAACAAAGTGAACAAAGTCGGGAGCGACAGCAAGGTTCATTTGGTACTTTCACAATTTGCGAGTATCCCTTTCACGGGAGTGTATCTCGATTCTCAAAAGGGTCGGCGCAAATCTCACCACATAGTTTATTTCCTCGGTACTTTCAATTTTCCCCAGGGTTGTGTGAACCAGGTCGGGGTTTTCGGCTAGCAGTTATGATGGATATGAAGGATATTAAGGATATTAACCTTAAAACTATAAGCGCCTATCAACCTAGGTGATATTAGTTTCCTGACTTACACTCTACTCAGGTAGGATCTAATAGCTTGGCTGTGAGGAGGGGGACGGAAAATATTTTGTGAAACAGTGGGGATGAGTTCATTATCTCCTGGTGATTGTACTTCAGTTCCTTTATGAAGGATCTTCGGATCAAAGGGTTAATCCCGATGTTGTTTTATAAGAACATTTCGCTGTTGATTAACTTTGAAATACGAGGACCTTCTCGGATATGAACAAAAGCTCCACCACACAGTTCATTATTACCATTTCCAATTTTATATAGCTTGTAATTACGTACAGAGAATTTGAAAAGATCTTTATTGAAAAAAAAAAAAACAAATTTTTTTTACTTTTGTACTTTTTAAACTATTGACCTATTTAAAGATATAAGCTCATCCCGGTGTTACACTCATCAAGAGCTTTCATTTGAATACCCACATGCATTTTTGATATATTTTTCATATATACATATATAT